TAATGTATAAGAAATTAATTATGTACAGTACTCGTATTCTAGAGATATCATTCAACCTCGAATGTTTATGTCTATTTCATATGATATCAGGAGTCTATCAGGACTCCTGATTATATGCAGATCTGTTTCAATAATTTATTTATTTAGAATTTTATGGTGAAGTTAGAAGTGATAAAGTCAATTTTTTTTTTCACTCCTAAAAGAGAAGGTAATAAAAAATAAAATAAAGTAACCTTTGTAATAAAGTAACTCGTTTATTGGTCAGCAGGTGGCGCTTTCGCGTCTTTTCGTGGAAGTCGCTAGACTGGTACCCGGTCCCACCTCTCGGCTTAGTTACTCGGAAGGGGAAGTAATCGAGTAATCGAGGTGGGAGCGAGTACCAGTCTAGGATTACGCCAGAGTTCGCGCGGTTTCTTCAATCATGGGTGCATCAAAATTGTTTACGTTGTACTTGTACGTTCTCTCGAAAAAAAGTTGCAAGAGAGTAATAAAACCAATCAATGCGAATTCTTTTCTTAAGAGACAAAATGTTGTCGTGAAAGAGGCGTTGCATTTTGAGCAACCAGAATGGTAAATACGTTGTAGTAGTGGTACTACTAGTACTAGTACTAGTAGTACTAGTAGTAGTAGTAGTAGTAGTAGTAGTAGTAGTAGTACTAGTAGTACTACTACTACTAGTACTAGTAGTAGTACTAGTAGTAGTAGTAGTACTAGTACTAGTACTACTACTACTAGTAGTAGTATTGCTCATAGGGTCTGTGTCCCCCAGGGTACTACCGGAACGTACCCTGGGTACGGTCCGGTATACCGGAACGTACCCTGGTCACTATTTGATATGGTTAGGGTTCGGGTTCGGTTTCGGGTTAGGGAGTAGGCGTAGGCGACTCCCTAGACTCGTTAGTGGAGTAGGCGAGGTACGGTCCGGCATATTAGATAGCAGCAGGGTGCGTTCCGGTATACCGGATCGTACCCAGGGTACGTTCCGGCAGTACCCCGGTGGACATAGATCCTCTCAGCACTAGTAATAGTAGTATACTATTAGTATTACTATCAGGATTAAGATAATAATACTAATAGTGATAGATCCTATATAATATTATCTTACTCCTGATACTATTACTATAGCCACAAGTGATGTATGTAGTGTGTCACGGAACTGGTCAACTTCAATAACTTTAAATTACGCCTATCATAGACATAATCATGCACTAATTGAAAATAATTTTGCACCATATTATTTGAGGCAATGTGTTGTACCGTTGGACACAAGAAGCGATGGCCAAAATCTCAATAAATTTCTGATCGAGCGAGTGCTACATATACACTGTGCATGCAGCAGCGGCTGAAGCTGGGTTTACACTGATGATTATATGCAGTCAAGTTGGCATTTTTCTTCTTTCTACCAACCTCTCTATATATATATATTCAAAGCTCTTACGTTATCGACCGCGAGGCGGCAAACGTTTCAACATTTGACCCGTAACGTACGCGCGGGGCGACGCGGATACGCATTTTTGCATGTATTAAATGCCACCAGCGTGGCGCTTGAAGCAAAAACGTGCTCTCCCCCTAGGGTGGACAGAATGGTAGTATGGTACTATGATAGAACTTAGAAGATGGGAGAGGTCAGAGGTGTCGGAGCCTCGGAGGCGGCATAGTGAATGCGAATGGATTCAAAGGATGTTTGGATCATGAGTTACAAGTGTGATTAGTGATATGTAGTAATGTAAATTTATATAATTATAGGTACATGTATTAACAGAAAATTTGACACACTCAAAGAATTAATAATACATACAATTTACATTGATGTCCTCATCCCCACAAATAAAATAAGAGTACATTATAGTACGTAAAATTTGAAACTGAAAATGGCCATGGATACATAAAAAATGGCTCTGGAGCTTCAAAAAATGGCTCTGGTACATTTTTGACAAGTCAGAAAAATGGCTCTGGTGAAAAAAAAGTATTTTTTACCCTGTTACAACACACTGCTTGTACACGTGCGTTGGTACAAACACTGGTTTTAACTTGCAGTTGCAGTCGGAGATCAGTACACCTGTAAAATGCAGAAAGTCTTGAATGTTCAGGTGTATATTATAATTAATTCATTGATTCAATTGTGTTAGTATAGTACATGTATTTTTTACCTCGTAATCGTCGCAGGAAAGCCGTGGATGGTCATGTATGCCAGTCATGCTTCACCTCCCTCGGAAGAATGTGTAGGGACACTGTTGGAATGAAGTTAACACCTCGGTCCGATTCCAAGAAGCGGGATGTTCGTGCACTCACACCAAGTAAAACGACTCAAAAAGTTGGGATATTGAAGCCGGTGAGAAGCTGTACGATTGTGGTGCCTTCAGAATCTTCAGAGTTGAGTAGAAGCCATGAATCGGGTCCAGAGGAGAAGCCGAGACCAATCTCGAATGATTCTTCTAGTGAGATAGCTAAAGATGAAGGCTTTCACTTCAGTTCAAGCCCGACCATGGAAGATATGTAAGGCAATATGATCGTGGTATATAGGGCAATAAATTGGGTAATTATACAATAACGAAAACGGTACTTGTAGTCTATTGGTAAAGAACACATGCAGCAAATTGTCATGGTGTGTGCTAATAGACCAATAATGAATTGACTCTACGCAGGGATTTGTTACACCATGATTGGATAGTTATATTGTTGCCAGATGTGCAGTACTACTAGTAATGGTATTTGCAATTAATGTCATAATATTAGCGGCACTTCTTGGATATTGATTAATGCTGTTCCTTTCCATCATAAATGCACGCCTTTTATGTCTTCATTCTAGAAGGAAAATCATGGCAAGTTTTGTAGAAGAAAGGAATTGGGACCAGTTCCACTCCCCTAAAAACCTGCTGCTTGCACTTGTGGGAGAAGTGGGCGAGTTAGCCGAGCTATTGTATGTACACATTAAAACAGAAAGTTGATTTACACAGATATTATGAATTCCATATGAGGCAGTAACCTTACTAGACATCTGTGAAAGTGACGTCAATGTTGCAGTGGTCTTGGCCATTCTACGAGACGTTTTACAACATTTTACACGTTGTACACAGTTGTACACAGTTGTACACAGTTGTACAGTTGCCCATATCGTAAATGCAAAAGCCGATTTCTATAATTTTTTTAATCGTACGAAATTGAGAGAAAGATCTCAGACTTAAATGCCAATCCTACATACAATAGTAAGTAGATTAACGATTGATGGCCACCAATGCAACATCATTCTATACGTAAATTCTGCAAGGGGTTTTCAAGAACACGATAATAATCCTTACTGTATTTATTTTTGCAGCCAGTGGAGAGAAGTGAAGGAGGGTATTCCAGGTGATTCATAGTTCAGTAAATGTCTAATGTACAATGTTTTGACTAACCTAAACAGTAATTCATTGAATATCAAAAATTTTAATGTTAGTTTCAACAATATAAAGATTTAATTCCCCCTGTGTGGAGATCGTATCGACATTACTTCAGGTTGCGGTAACTCGTGCTGTGATGTTTCACAAAACGAATCGATCGAGCTAACCGTGACTTACTGCGCCGTGTCGGATCTTCAACCCTGCAACGTTGACGCTGTTGTAGATTGGACGGATGCAGAGCGTCGGCATCTCGGCGAGGAACTCAGCGACGTTTTAGTCTACCTCGTACGACTCGCAGACAAGGTGCGCGTGGATCTACCGGCAGCGGCCCTCTCCAAGATAGCATTGAATGCGGAGAAGTACCCAGTGAGCAAGTGCTACGGAAAGAGTAACAAGTACACAGAATACCAATAGCTCAGGAAGCAGGAATCACATTCCCTGCTCGGCGGTTGGTCGTGCAAAGTCCCGCAGAGTTTCGACGCGACGACGGCAGTTTTCTGTTTGCCGTATTACTTGGGAGTGTGGAACGGCTTGGCTTGTGTTTTTAACTACGAAGAAGTGACAATGTGGAAAGCTTGCAGGTCGTTGACTTTCGCTCCTCCTACTTTCTCTGCAAGTCCTAGTCCTGGATTGAAATTACATTCTCTCGCAACACAATCAACCTCACTAAGAGAAGTGCAGGCGAATCGTGCACCCTGCCATTATTGCGAAGCAAAATGTGGCAGCTATAGTTTTCACCATGGCTATCTTTATAATAACTAACAGTAGTTGTTACATGTCCATTAGTATAAACATTTAAAATGGATGCTATGATTTATTTTAACTACTGAAATGCATATTTTGTATGTGCATATATAAATAAGATGGGTAGTTGTAAGGACGGTGTTGTTTTCAGCAATTGTATGGAAGGCACCTCTATCACCCCAACCAGTACAGATTACTTTTCTCAGAATTGTGCAAATCCACATTATTTTAACTGAAAACGATCTTTTATTTTGTATGTTGATACACTTCCTTTTCGAATCAACGTGCAAATTCTTAATTTTATATGTCGAGTTTAAACAGATTTAACATGTAAAATAAATGGCTGCTGGCAATAGAAAAATATCAACATGCATAGGGTTATATTATGTATACTGTTTTAAATATAACATCAAATGCAACAATTTGTTTAAAACGCTTTTTAGACAATCTATAACATCATTTGCATACTATATACAGACAGTTTTTAACTGTATGACACAATACAGCACAATTACAGTATAAATACTTTAACACTCACAGTTCAAGTCACTATTTTATCCTTGCACCTTTCATGGATTCAACAAAGGACGTATTTTTTTTACATTTCCCATCATCTTTGTTAATCAAACAACAAACTATCAAGTTTTTTGCAAACAAGTTTCTGTTAAATTTGTTTTTGGTAATGCAGACTGGTACGTTGCTATGAATCTGATTTACTATCATCGCGTTGCAACTGCGCGTCCTTGAACATTTCCGACACTTTGACCTGTGTTGTAAAATGGCCGCTGCCGTCCCTAGTCTCGCTCATATCGCCGCCTCCACGTACAGGCCTTTCAGGCGCCTCCTGTAGAAAGATGATAATAGCTTTGACATGAAACAATTAAGTACGCTAAAGTTGCTACACCGATGCAGTCGACGACTTCTCAATGAGTAATTAGTTAGTGGAGGGGATAAGTTGTATTTACCAATCATGAGGGAAAGTGATGATGAATATTAAAGGTGACTTTAGAACAGTTTCTGGAAATTGAACATTTTAACGAATTCTGGCTATGACTTTTGAGTCGACTACTGTAAAGTATGGTTTGCAGATGTTACAAATAGTAGCTGAGCGATTGGAAATGTAGCGACTGTGGTTGCATAATGGGTTGGTCGGCGGTAGCGCGTTTGATGTGGTATGGATGATGGAGATGAGAAACGGTGGAGAGAGAATTGTTGTGCATGTGGAAAGCGGGTGCAGTGAAAAAAATACACGGGGGCTCGGGGCGATTTAGCCCCCGAAATGCCAAAAAGAGCCCCGTAAATTTACATAGAGTTCAATGCAAACCAAATTTTAGAGCGCTATTTTCATGCACGCGAGCTTGAAAAGTAGCCCCCGAAAAATTTTTTTTTTTTCCCCTGAGCGGGTGTGGTTGTCCGCGCGCGCGACTTTCTTTGTTAGCTAGAAATGTATAAATGGGAGCTAGGTCTTGGTTGAAGAGAGAGGTCGGACGTGAGTGTGCGAGGCACGCGGCTCTGTGCGCGCGTATGTGGGTTGAGAAACAATAATACTATTTGCTGAACACAACTGCTTGGACTTTGGAGTTTTCATTATTCATCGCTACAACTAGTCTACTTTGAATCGGGTAACGTCATCATCGTCGTTACACTACTGAAACATTTTGAGCCTGCTTTACATATCAAGACACTGCATAAATGCATTTGCTTATGTCATTACCGAATGAGTTCTCTCGAGTACAAGTCCCTCGTTGGCTAGTGCTTCTGTTGTTGCCGTGAACAGCTGTTCTGGCTTGATTACTCCCTCATGCTCTAATTCTTGGTGCTTCTTTATAAATCTGAAACCATCGAAAACAACAAATTTATACAATGCAAAGCTAAACTATGAGCACCACTGCTATGGCTCAATGGTTGAGTGCTCGCCTCGTATGTGGAAGGTCGGCGGTTCAACTCCCGGCCGGGTCATACAAAGACTTGAAAAAAGGTACACACGGCTTCTCTGCTTAGCATTAAGCAAATAGAGATAGAGTGTGGCAAGTTAACTCGCAGTGCTACCAGTGGACTACCCCCCTACTGTAGCATTTACTGTGAAAGCAGCTGCGGGACCTCGGGGTTACTGAAACGGAGATAGGCACCGCCCTATGCGCCATGTAAACGTGCGCTAAGCATATAAAGGTGCGGGAAGGATTTAATTTTAATTTAATTAAAGGCTAAACTATAAGGACCCTTAAAAGTGTACATGCCTAATTCTTTAGCATGCTTTATGCTTTCTTCAATCTATCGAATATTCCCTATTGAACTACCACTTTGCATGCGTACCTCTCCGACAGTGCCTTCGTTTTGTGGTTTGTCATGTCAATTGTTCCTGGGGATCCAAACTTTTTATAAAATTTCCTGTTGAAAAAAACATTAGGGAGTATAGCAATATAGCGTAAAGGAAAAACCTATAACATACTCTGTGTCAATATAGCACATGCAATATTATTCATAGCAAAATTATATATTTGGATTTCCCTTATAATTTATTTGAGTTATGTCAATGCCTACATTACCATTACCATATGAAATTATTAGCTTTACAGATTTAATTTGTTGGGTGAACCTATAGCTATTACCAGCGTTTGTACAACCATTAATTTACAATTATAGATTATAAACATACGCTCTTATTATGTCTTCTGGGTAGAGTATATCAACGATCTCTTTGTCAGCTGGTGGTCTGTCAGCGTATGGTTCATACTTTGGCGGAAACGTCTTGTACACGTCGAACCATAAAGGCTTGTCTTCTTCACTTAAAACACCGGCTCGCATTAATCCGCGAACTCTGTGAATAGATAAAGACTAAAAATAAAATACAACATAAATCTAGGCATCGACTGATTGAGATATCATTTATGCATTAGCTGAATACTTATTAGCGAACCCTGGGATAATCCTCTTTGTATCATGGCGCCAAAAAGCCGTATTGCCCTGGCTTTTCTAGAGTATCATGTCACTGGCATAGTATTACAATGTCAATATACATGTCAATGGCATACAGGCGCGGATTTAGGCCGATTTGCACCGGTTTCCAGAAACCGGTCACAGGCTGCTGGGTATCTTCAGAATTGACGCTCAAAATTCACCAGAATGCACCAAATATAGCCTAATTTTTAAAATATTCCCGGGGGGTATGCCCCCGGACCCCCCTAGCTGTGACTAGAACTATGGAAACTGGTCACCCAAACCCTCTGGATCCGCCCCTGGCATAGTATTACCACAGACTAACGGATAAACAGACTGGACAAAATGCCAAAATAGTGTAATGCAATTGAATGCAATACACTAAAAATCTAACTGTGGTGACAGATTGTGGATGTGTAACGTTGTAACATTAAAACGTCTCTATCGTTAATTCTAATATTTGGACTGGAATTTAATTATACATTCCTGAATCTAGAAGGTCAAATGATAGTCTTCAAGCAGATTGTGCTCTATTAAACGGCTATACATTTATTTTTAAATGCAAAACGATCATCCACACCGTATCACCGACTAATGCACAATGAATACACACAATTAATACATCACAATGCGTAATGTGCTACGGTCTGTAGTTTAATTTATTCCTTAGTCTGTGACCAGATTTTGTGAGATGTTTGTTTTTTCTACAAACAATAAAAATAATAAAGACGATATAATTTCCATATTTTTTTACTCAAATACCAGTATATTTAGTCACATTTATTGCTAAAAAGCTTAATCACAAGTGCTGGAGCTTCAGCAATGTACGATTCTGCTTTGTTTCTAGGTTGGAGTGCAAAAGGGTTACTAACTTCTATCAGAGATGGAACGTGCATCCTTTCTTAGCCTCTTAAATGTTTGACTTGCCCTTGTGTTTTTAATAAAGGTGGAGAGGATCGGTGAAGGATTATAGGAAATTAAGGTAAAATACAAACGGTTTGAATTTTTTATTAGCAAAATTATTAAGCATGTGTTGGTTTAGTTTTGATATTGCCATACAGCAGGGCTAGCCAGTATGTAGCACTGTAGGCCCGGGCCTACACTTTTTTTTGCCAAGTTATCTTTTTTTTTAAAACCATCATAATTCAAATCCATAAGCTTTGCTGGACAAGTTTAAGAGTCTAGGCAGGAAAAACTATTGAAATGAAAAACGTAGCAAGAAATAGGCAATTAGGTGACCTATTCTTCTGTACATCTAGGCTGTCCATTTCTATCGCGTGCCGTTTCATTCAACACTCTAACGCCGAAAAAGACTAACGACCGATCTTGTCAAGTTTTTTAACATTTTAACTCGTTCGTAACACTATTTTAACTCGTTGTGTTTTTGGGTTTAAAAGTGTTATTGAATGAGGTGTCTCAAAGTTATCAAGAGGCCAGGGAACCAGAATGAACACTCGGGAAGGGCCGTTTCCGGCCATCTGGAGGGTTTGTAAACCAAAAATTTTCTTGTGCGCTCCGCGCCAACCGATGGTGGCATTCCGCTCAGATAGTCGTGCCTACAACTTTGAAAATCCTGGCTACGCCCCTGATAAGCAATGATATACTTCAGTGCCCAGCAGTAAATATTTCTCAAATGTATTTTTGTTTATGTATATTTCTTGAAATCAAGCCTGGTACATGTATAACGACCTATGACAACGACCCATGAGTCACACAACGAGAAGCAGAGAAAGCAATGTTTTTTACTAATTTCCCAGGTTAGGTTTTTTACTAATAGGCGTCAGCGCCACCTATTATCCAGTAATACCCGTAATACCGTGAGACACTTACATAGTGTGACATTAACGTACTAAGTGCAGGATGAGATTGGATAATTTAATTTTCAGCTGAAATTTTAATTAGCAAACAGAGGAGCGAGCAATGCGAGGACCGTAGGTCTCGCCATGCTAGGGGGTCCGGGGCATGATCCCCCGGATTTTTTTTATAAAAGAATGTGCAATTTGGTGCATTCTAAGCTATTCTGAACACATAGGAGACTCTTGAATCACCTTTTCAAGTTGTAAAAGGAACAAACGAACTATACAAGTAAATAGGGGGCTGAAAATAGGGCAAATTTTTTATTAAATGTCTAGACATAATGATCTTTTCTGTTTCCACCCGTCGCTTGCATTGTTTTACTCAGACATAATGCCATTATGCCACAGGGCCAAGCTGCCTTGCTGCGACGAGATTTGAATGAAAAAAACACAATGCGAATGGAACAATCAGTGCATATACTATAGTCATGCACACAACATTGTACACAGCAACATGGAAACCCCCGCCCCCAGGCCAGGCATGGTCGTTACGTGATCAGCTACCTCAAATGTCTGCCCCTCTACTGCAGCCTGTGAAAGAGGATTTTCTTTTCTGGTACGCAAAACAGATACACTGTATACTTCGCTGTCAGCCTACTGTCTACACTCTACAGTCTAACGTCAGGCGCTGTTGAGGGTATATAACTTTACATAAGTTTACATTGTTAACCCCCCTCCCAATTTTCTCAACGAATTTAGACGTTTCACCAAAATCGACCCCTGGGACTGTCAAATCCGCGGATTTCCGCGGATGTCCGGGAAGAATCTCATCCCTGTAAGTGACTATCATACCGAGAGAACACTACAGCTCGGCGGAGTTCAGTTCAAGGATTCAAGGATTTCCATACTAATAATAGTACTTTATATTTTTAAATAGGTACAGCATATCACATTTCAAAGCAGCCAGTGATTTTTACCCTTGTCAGCTGGACACATAAATTGAGATGCCTCAAAATGATCTTCGCAAATTAGCAGATATTTGCATTGGCCGTCTTTTAACCCGTCAATGTCGGGGATTCCTATGTTGCAGATCCACTTCCGAAGTCTATGTACATGATCATCTACATGTGTCATGTAATGATGTGGTGTATTATTTACAAATTGCATATGTTTTAATTGGTATTTTTCAAGCAGACAAAGGGCAGCAGAATTACACAGATCACCGAACCAAGTAGTGTTTTCCCTAACCTTTAACTTTTAGCTTCACAAGATTGTATCTTGTATTAGTTTACACTGATATTATGATTACATATGATTAAACAACCAATAAGTACAGTCTCTGTTCGTGTGCACAGCAGTCACTGCGTCAGTGAGTCACTGCATCTGTCACTGACGTCCTAACGAATTTATTGTTTGCAAACGTATATAACATGCAACACGTGATTGTACTCTACACATAACAGTCTTATTAACGTACACTAAGTATTGTATTATTAACCGTCAAACTGCTTAATTGTATGTAACTACGTAACACCGAACGTTCACCGTGTAAATATTGTTCCTAGCTTTTCAAGTCTACTACCCGCCATGCTTGCTAATCTCGAAAGGTCATAGGTCGGACGCGAAATCGCGAGAAGCGCGTGAACTTCCGGTTGGTGAGTCAACACAGAAAGTTCAAAGATTTTTGCGTAAATTGAATAAAATAGACGGAATTAATGTTGTATTGGCTATACTGCCGCTCATCGTGATGTAGCGGTGCTCCAGCAAGCCGAGGCATGTCAAGTTAAACTCACAGAAGGTAGTTGTGTGTGTCTTATGCGAGGGAACACTATCGAGTATCGTTATGTTGGTTCCAGTTCTGCTGCTAAATAAGGCAATGAATCCAAGTTCAAATACTATTACTACTACTGTACTAGTATTACGACGTTTTATGCAGATATATATACTAATTACTATAGTTTATCTATAACGTTTAACAGTGTTTAACTTATTTATACTTCCGGAGATATGTGTATCGTCTTGACAACTACGACTATCGTTATTTTAAGTCGCACCACACACTTTTCCAACTGCAAGCTAAGGACTGAAACGATCGGGTGTGTAAAATGGAAGTAATGCAACAAACGGATTGGCTACCGAGCTGAACTATCTTGTTTTGCAAAAAAAATCGATTAGGGTAGAACGTATACCTATCTAAGTTCCTAAATTTCGCAATGCATTTACTACAAACACACACACACAAACACAGACACAGACATATACATATATATTTATATAATATCTAATCAATTGTTATTATCCAAGCCAGAGTTATCCACATACATGATAGGCAGTAGGGACGACCAGCGAAAAAAATACACGGGAGCGGCGAGCGATTTCGCTCGCGTCGCTTCAAACGCTCTGGTAACAACAATTACGAGAGCGAAAATTTTGGAAGCTACGAGAAAAAATCGCTCCGGTGCCGCCGGCAGTGTTACGACCCGTTCCTCACGTAGACGGCTAGGGTATCCAAAACTTCTGAGCTGCATGAATCCCTCAACGCATGATTCGCCACACGAACAAAAACTCGCGACAGTTTAAGAAATCAATGTGTTTTTATAACCGCGTAACAATAAGTTTATATATCGCAGGGGTTATTGTGAGAAGTTAGGGCACGACCAGTGCCACCTGACACGCACGTAATCAAAGCTGTTTTCTGAATTCATCACGTAGAAAGTGACGTTTTTTATCAGGTAGATATTTAGAAGAAATGTAAACTGTATATACTTGAAGATTCTAGGCACTTGTAACTTTGTGGATGTGCGGGCAGCATTGATAGATCTATGCATGGGGGTACCGTGGACTGGGGAATAGAAAAACGAAAGTAAAACCTTACCCAGAAGCTCTCCCCCCCCCAACATTCCTAGAGATTGAAACATTATTTGACCAACTCTAATTAAGTTACATCAAGAGTTAATGAAGACACTATTTGTCTTCATTAACTCCTTGTTATGCGTATGCTGTTTTAATTCACTGGTTATCTTTATATACTATTTTGTAACTCGCTGCTAGTAAATAAGCTGACCACCAAATTTTTGTGCAGGTCCACCAACTTTCTGAAGTTGTGGTCCTGCTGTCCACTAGATTTTCAGCCGAAATTCGAACCCTGGCGGTGCCGGCTCGACAAACCCGCTTGCGCCCGAAGGCGCCGGGGCAAACCAAAAATTCGCCCCGGGCAGGTAGCTTGAAATTGCACTTCCCTGTTCGGGCAAGCAAGTTTTTTTTATTGAATGGCTAGACATACGAGATTTGAATTAAAAAACAATGCGAATGAGACAATCAGTGCATGCAGTCATACCTTTGTACATTAACATGCATACAGCAACTGTAAACGCCGGCTTCCGGATTTTTGTCACCATTAGGAATAATTTGTGACCTCATCGATTTCGCCAAAGCATAATCTTGAACTTTGTTTGGGAAACACCTTTACGATAATTAGACACAATTTCTGGCTTCTGAGACATTATTAGAGTCAGTGCATCAAATATTATGAAAATTTTAGACAAATCATGCCTATGAAAAAAGTAGCTCTGGGCCAAGCTTAAAAATAGGCTCCCGTAAACAAATTACGAGAGCCTCTTTTTTTCAATACAAAATCAAAAAGAAGGCTCTCGTAATAAAAAAAGTATTTTTTAGGCTGAGGACGACGTCTGTGTTTCGTAGCAGACAGGCAGAGTCATCGTCGCCATGGCGACCGCGCCGGACACGCAGACGCAGGTGAATCGTCGAAGCTCGCGTCGTCGCGGTTCCAACCCGAGGCAGCCGAAGGAGGAGACGCAGCGGCGACGCGCCACACACCTTGAGTTCACGCAGGCGATGGACGATTTCAAGACGATGTTTCCGGACGTCGAGGAGGACGTTATAGAGACGGTGCTGCGCGCGAACAAGGGAGCAGTCGACACGACGATCGACCACCTGTTGGCACTGAGCGTCGACATAGGTAGGTGGTCGATGCAGTACGTCGCGGTGGTGGTTGTTCCGTGCGTACGTCGAAGAGCTTAAAGGGAGAGTTCACTCTAGGTTCTAGGGTTATTTCAGCTTAATTTAGGTTATAATTACGCTACATAAAAGTTTCATAGTTCAATCACCATTAGAATATTTTTTTTTAAATGTTTAAACTAACGACTACAGTTTGATTACAACGACGGTGGCGCCACTCAAGCGCACGATCTGATAGGTTGCGCAAAACCACTTTCCAGCCAAGGGCTACAGACGAGGGTGTTTCTTATTTATTCATTTAAAAGCAAAAGATTGTAATATCTTATAAACGACATACAGTTTCAGTTATAATATGGATAATTTGCCCTAAAATGAATATCGTTCGGTTAAATAGCATTTAGTTAATAAATATAATTGCACTTTTGTGATTAGCCCTCGCCTGTAACGTGCAAAATAAATTGTCAATACGCAACTTTTGGGTGGCAGCATGGTCGCTGGGTGTCATGGCCGCCATTCAATTTGCGTAGCGTTGATGTGTAATTAATTATAACAATTAAATTAGGTGTCTGGTAACAATACGTGTGGGTATAGACGATTTGTTATACAGTAAGTACAGTTGTATGCAGTAAAATCCTAGAGGCTACTGTCCCTTTAACTTTAGTCGTCAGCAACGTTTAACTCGGCACTAGCCTTAACCCTCCCTAACCATAATCTATAAATAACAAGCCACATTAAAGCAAATGGCAATCCAAAAGTGAAATACTATAACCTGTCTAACGTCTAGCCACACACATATATACTATAAGATATATATATATATATATGTATATATATGTTCACACGGCGAGAACTCTACGGGGAGTCTCGCGTTACTAACCACCCCCCGCGTCTCACGCTCGCGCGTCCCTCGTACGCAGACGGGGAATCGTCGCCACGCGACCCTCGCTCGCACGCGCAGACGGTCGTGTTCCCCGGCGAGACGGGCGAGAATCGACCGCAGAACGCGTCGCAAGCTTCGCCCGGCAGCGGAGACGGCGGCTCGCTGGACACCAGCGCCCTCTTGCCGAAGGACGAGCCGCCCCCGCCGCCCTACAGCTGCAGCCCGGGCCAGGCAGCGCCACGATCGCCCGACGAGGGAGCCGCGTCCGAAGGCACGGGTAGGCGTCGACCGTTCACTTGTTTCGACCGTCGTCGCGAGACGGGATAGGCCGCGCTCTGTCGCGCTGTGCAATATTGCTTGCGATCGTAATCGTGGGATGGGATAGCAGACTTCGCGGCACTGCGCAATATTACTGCTACACGCCGCCGATCACGCCGTCTGTGTTTTTCAGCGAGGCCGGCCAGTTCCGTGTACACGTACGGTCGCGACGACGACCCCAGCGATAACGACGAGGGTACAACGCCGACGACGACAACAGCGGCAACGCGTCCAAGTGGCGCCCCCGTGGCCACCACTGCGGCAGCAGAATCCCTCCCCAGCCAGGTGCGTGATTCCTTTACCTTTCTCTTCGCGTGGCGTAAAAACGAAGAGCGTAAGATAGTCGGTCACGCACCGTGCCTAAACTTTGCGTGTGACCGTACAGAGAAAAGTCCGAGGTTGCCATGGTGTTATTCTGTTTAGCCTACAATCTGGATAGAAGCAGCTATAAGTGACTCTGAAAATTTATGTGAATCAAATAAAAAACACGCGTATCACCGCCGTTAACTTGTGTTCACCCCGGTGTTTATTTCGTTTGGGGGGAGTAGTTCCGCGAGTGACGAATCGCGCGAATTCTTCTATAGAGGCAGCGATAAGTGACTCTCTACGCCTACGTGAACCACACAAAAAACGCACGTGTTCACTCCCAGCGTTAACTTGTGTTCACCCCTGTGTTTATTTCGTCCGGGGGGGAGTATTTCCGCCCGAGTGACGAATCGCGCGTATTTTCTCGGCAGGTTTTTGAGCCAACGTCGTCTGACGATGAGGCGCCGCCCGCATACACGCCACGCTACGATCGCACGTGGGCCGAGTCCATCAAGCCGAAGCAGGTCGCTGAACCTAACCTGATGAGCTTCAAGGAGGACCAGGTAGCCAGCCGTACGCACGCGCGCGTCACGGTGTTAGACAGGGATAAAAAATCAGAGAGTCTTACCATCTGAGCGAATCGAGGGTGCTGCGGGAACGAAGCGCCCTAGGGGGAAAAACCGGCGATTTTATTTTCATGCAGGGGTAAAATTGGGCTGCCCTCATGCCGTCTCTATGAAATTTCAACCGTTTCATCCAAGAATAGGCCGTCCAAAAGACTGGTAGATGGGTGTCTGGCCAACACACTGGCGCGTGATCTCTATAGATAAGATAGATAAGTTATAGATCTAGATAAGATCGAAACAGATCCCTTTTGTTCATCTCATCATACGGTTAAACCCGTACGTGAGCGTCGTTCATGGAAAATACTTAATTTCTCCCAAATAAACAAGTAGACGTACTATCGAGGTGGTTTCGCTGTATTATAACTCTCACGCGAAGAAAATAGCAAGTGTTGCTTATCGACAGGTGCCTGATCGTCTGCGACTCTCGCCACGGGGGTTTGACCGCACATTCTTTGTAATGACCCTTCAAGGTCGAGCGTCTTTGACTTCCTGATCGTAATCGCCCTCCCCCCACCCACGTATTGCAGCAGAGGGCGCCGGCGACGGCGGCAACGACGCAGTCACCGATGTCGCCCATGCAATCGCTCGCCATGTACATCGCTGTCACGCCGACGACTCAGCCGAGTCCGCCCCTGTCCAAGAAGTCGCCGAACGGCGGCGCACGACCCCTGCCGGCGCCACCTGGCGGCGGCACCCCGAGCCCGGCGGCGGCCGCGGACTCCTCGCCGTACATGGACATGTCGCCAGGGGGCGCCGGCATCCCGAGGCAGGAGACGGTGGCGCCGCCGCTCGTTCCGCCGCGCACGGGATCGGCGGCGCTGCCGGCGCGAGCGTCTGTGCGGGCCGCAGCCGTCGCGGGGCCGCACCGCGCGGGCGCCGCCTCCGCCGCGCCGCCGTCGGGCA